TATATAAACATTATTAAATATTATTATTGAATTTATTAACAGATCACTTTACATGATAGTTATACTGTAGAGGTTTGGTGTAGCATTCTAGATATTGTTGTTTATACTTCTAATCAAAATAAATTATCAGATTTCATCTGATATGCCTGATAAGGCATTCCTATGTGCCAAGATTTGACTATCGTTCATGGAGACGAACCATGAGAGACTGTAGACTCTGAGAAACAAACAGGGATTTAGAGGGGAGGGGGGTGGGGGGAAGGGTTATCCCAGTGATGGGTATTAAGGAGGGCACTTGCTGCATGGAGCACTGGGTGTTATATGCAAACAATGAATCATGGAACACTACATCAAAAACCAATGATGTATTATATGGTGACAAACATAACATAATAAAATTAAATTAAATTAAAAAAAAAAAAAGACCTACACCCATGCCAATGGATGCAACCTGACCTCCTGGTTTTAACTTCCTGTAGTTATGCCAGACTCTACTTTCAGATGGCATGCATCCATTATTGTGTAATTGTAGCTTAATTAAGATTGATTTATGACTCTATTGCTCTAATTAGATATTTTGATATCACTGTTATCTCACTGCGGATTATGACAGAGATATGTCTTATTAATAAAGTATGCTCTATTCTGATCCCAATTTAGCCCACTGTTAATTTTGGTTTGAATCTTTGAACACCCTAATAGTACATATAATTCCATATGAAAAAGGGTCTTCCATTTAGGAAGAAAAAAAAAAATTCTCTCGCATTTTCGATTCCCACAATATCTTTCAAGGAATAGGTATAATTCCTATAAGGGCTTTGGGAAATAAGGCATTCCTATGTGCCAAGATTTGACTATCATTCATCAAAATTAAAAGAAATACACAAAACTAACTAGGAAGAAATGAAATACTGAATAGATTTTATAATGTTGCCTAAATTTACCAAAGAATCGTTAACTATTTTCTGTTAACTTGTAGTTGTAATGTGGTACATAGCTTACCTAGATTACCAAAGATAAAGCCAAACTATTTGATTAGAAAATTTAAATCATCATCAGAAAAAAAAACGTAGTTTAAACTAACAAGACATTATTATTACAACCGTCTGAAGTTCTATTAAAAGCAAGATTCCACAAAGTATCTGACATCTACACACACCCCAAAGGATTTAACTACATAACCCATTGCTGAAATGAATGAATACACCTACCTAAGGGTCAACATTTTTCAGATATGTGAATTTAAGTGTTCTCATTCACATTCATAGTTACTCATGGTGATATGGAAGAACACATATGACAATGCAGCTCTGATCCTTAAATCATTCCTATTAAGTACTGATTTTTTTTCCTGTTTCTAAATCAAACCTTTTCTTGTATCATAATCCTAGTCCATTAATATACTGACATATGTTTAGATTACATATCTCACCCTAATTGCTATAAACTGTATCACTTACTTATTTCCCTTCCATTTCCAATGGAACCATGTAGTTTATGTTTTACCTTATGCTAACTCCCTCTTGCTGATTTCTCAGGATCCCATCTTCCCTAACTTCAACCAATTCTGTTGTCTCCAGTGATCATTTCTAAGGACTTAATGATTGTATTGAATTTTTCCACCTCTCAGAAACATTTAGTGGGCTTTTTATACTATATTAAAGAAAAAAATCCTACTCTCCTTACCAACTCTAGTGCAACATAGAGTTGCATATAAAAGATACAGCCTCTGTATTTTCTATGCCTCCATAATCCCTTCAGCCAAATCTGCTTCTCAAAAACCTACTCAGACTTATGTTATTGAGTGAACACTGAACAAAGGGATTCCTACAGGGCTAGTGTTTCTCTACCAGTAATTAGCAATTTGGTCACAGCAATCCGAGTCTGTCTCATGAATATTCAACCTCAGAAGACATACAGAAACCTGGAGTAAGCACTTTCCATTTTTTGTGTAGAGGAACACTGGACCATTAAACTGTATTTACTGAGCAGCCAATATGTGCCAAACACCATATTAAATGGTATTAATACAGTAGTACCCTCAAAACAGTCTTTCCCTTTTTAATCTTGTGTCAACACCCAATCCTCAGTGAAAAGAATGTAGTAACCACTAAGAGAGAAGGAAGAGTGACAGTTTTGCTAAGCAGGTGCAAAATCATAGCTGGTTCTTTAGTTTCTGGTTGCTTTCCAGTTTCATGTTCCAATCTGTCATTAAGTCTGACATAAGCTGTTTCCTTCATTTTTTTGGTGAAATGCCAGAATTCCACTTCACAGATGAGCCAATTGTCCAGTTATGCAATACAGGCTATGCAAGACGCTCCCAGTTTATCTTACATCGATGTTTCCCTGCTGCTGTATACCAGTATTGCTCCAGCCGGTGATGGGATATAGCTGAAGAGCTTTTTGACTTTGGGGCATTTGGATATCCACTCTATTATGAATATGTTATCTTGTAGCCAGATTTGATTTATGTCTCACAATGTGCTACCTAACCAGCCAGCCTCATGCCATAAACTCCAAGGCTTAAGAGCTACATTTTCCTCTTATAATACTGGTTTTTTGGCAACCTGCCTCCTCTTTTCAGGTGCAAACATTTAATGTAACTAATTAGTCACAAGAGAATATTAGAGAGTTACAGTGATGAGACCTAGAGACATGTAGGATGGAGGAGGGGAACACAGGGATACTGGACTTTATGAAATTAAATACATCTTCATTAAAAGTGAGTAAAGCTTAGTCACCAGAGACCATCACCCTAACAAAAGATATTACTTTATATATTTTTTAAAATTTTCCTGTAACCAAGTGGCCCCTGACTACAATATTATTCAATATTATCATATTACTGTTAGAATAATATATGCTCTCCATAAAATAAGTTAAGAACACAATACTACTTATCTCCCTGACACTGTATCCCACAGAGACCCTCACTTACCACCTCTCCTATTTCACTAGTATGAATCCCACCTATGCTGAAATTAGCTCATCTTTCTAATCATTGATTTCACCTACAATACATATTTTGTCTGTTTCTTGACTAGTGCTTTAATGGGCTAACTTCTACTCTTCCTTCTTATAAACTATGGGTCTTATGTTCTCTAGCTGATCTTTAACTGACCTTTTTTGACTACACACTCCTCCCCAATTTGCATTCATAAATTTTTCTTAAATGTCTCTCTTATGTACAGCTATAACACCCTCTCCATACTGATACCAGAACCGTGATAAAATGTTGTATATATTCCTTATTTTTTTGCCTATTTATGTCACTGAACTGAGATGGTATGAAAAATGAATGATACTAATTCTTACATTATCTGTGTAAAGCACCTTTGGCAGATAGGCATTTGGTAATTATTTGTTGAATGACAGAATATTCTGCCTCAATCACATTGGTCTAGACAAGTCATTGCATCCTTTTACCCCTAAATTCTACATCGCTACCTTTGGATTAACACTGCCTTGAATCTGAATTTCAGCATAGCAACTAACTGTAGGTCTTTGAGCATGGCTTTTACACCAATGAATCCTAGTTTCATCATCTATAAAAATAGACAGCCAGTTTTGATTCTTTCATATTTGAGGTGATCAAGCCACCAAAGATGAGTGGGAGAGTACAGAGAAGGAACAATAAATATAAAGTATATAATGTAAAGCTGCAATGTAATTGAAGCATACCCTAACTCCTAAGCTATGTGAAAAGTCTTCATTTTATAAGGTATATAGTTATAATGCAGTGATGTAGAGGATAAAGAATAATGATGGATGGAAAGATTAATATAAGACAATGAACAACAGAACAATATCATCCTTACCTTTTTCCCCATCACTATTCCACACTATCCTTATTACTATCTTATATATCCTCTTATTCTTTATTGTATTCTTCATTTTGCTAACTTCCTCTGAGTGTGACTAGTACTAGATCTTTGTATAAAATGTTTTTCTTTTCATTTTCCTTTGTTGTACTTGCATATTCAACTTCTCAATTTCTCTCCTATTTTCCATGTAATTGAGAATCAACTTAAGAGCTTTAGCGTGCATAGTAATTTAAAAAGGAAAAGAATATTATGGTAAAACCATCTGTTTGTATACTGCAATTCCTCAAAGAATTTTCTTGTGTCCCTATGTATTTGAAAAATCAAGTACTGCATTTGATCAGATTGGAATGATTTATAATTTATTAGCCTTATTTATACTAGAAGTATTTCAAAATAAAATTTACAAGAATATTTAACATCTTATGGTAGTGTAAAATCTGGTGACACAAAAGTTGTTACAGCATTTTCTCTTATTTCCAAGAGTGAGAAGACCAATAGTCCACAACTAAATAGTTTTGCTTATTTGCTATTAAAAAGTAAACATCATTTTACATGATCATTTAACATATAAGAGGACATTTAACTTTATTAATAATCAGGAAAAGCAAATTAAATTCACAGTGAGAGTCTGCAGTACTGATCCTGCCTGAAAATATGCCAGCACTAAATATGTGGTAGCTAAGCTTTCATTTGGAGTCCATACTGTTTTCTAGTTCTTCACCGCCAAAGAAGCCATACCATTAACTGCTATTTCTATGAGGCCTCCAGATTATCCTTACATTTGTATTTATACCTTTCACTATTAATTAATTTTAGATGATTATATCATATTGCCCTCCCTAGCTTGTAAAATCCTCAGATATTTAGTAGAAGCTAGCTTATTTCCTTATACTAAACAAATATTGGTTGAACGACTAACTAGTTTATCCATCTATTTTAGTTAGCATGATTAAAATTTTCAGTTAATTATTCCTCTTTCCTCAAGAGCTAATCTCCATTCCCGTCTATGGCATTCCCAGCCTACCATACATTATTTAATTTCCTCCAAGGTTACATAAATAAACCTTTAATAAACCTCTTGGATTCCACTTATCATTCCCCCACTAACATGCACTGTAGCTAAGCAATAGGGAAAATACTTCCAGGAAGACGGTCCAAAGGTAATATCATTCTTACCTTACAGCTTTCAACCTTCTTTCACATTACCATTTTGTTTAATCTTCACAGAAATGAAAATTATTGTTAACTCTATTCTGCAAAAGAAAAAAAAAAAACTTTACTTTTTTAAAGTACCTACTTCAAAACACATACTTATTTTTAAGGCATTCCTTTACGCCTATAGTATATGTGACCCTACCTAATACATTAACTCATGTATTCCTTTGAATATTGGGGTCACCTATTTAGCTAAATAATCTTGTCAAGATAATAAGTACAAATGATGGCTTCTCTGTTTTCTTTTAAATGACAACTATTTTGGTAATCTTTGTCAACATGAAAAGTATAACTAGGTTTAAAGTCCAATTCAAGTAATTAAGAGACATCACTTCGGACAAGATAACTCATGCTAATTTTGAAACCAAACTACTGAAGTCTGTAACTTAATAACAGTGTTTACTTTTTAGCTAGATAAGGTGCTAATATTTAGAGATTTAACAAACTAGTCATGTCAAATTCCTCAATGGTTACAGAATCTTATAAATAACAAGTTAGTAAAATCCTTTCAATCCTTTCACTTTAGTATATAGTATGTGCTCTAAATAAATATACTAAGAGTCAAATTGGAGTCTAGAAACCAATGAGTTAGTGTAATGCCAAATGTACATAAAGATAGGTTCTGTAAATTTTCCATGCGAGATGATTCATTACTTTGAAGATGTCGATCAGACAGATGTTACATTTAGTTATTTCCTCTATTTTCTCTCATTTATCCCTCACTTGCCAGTATGTGAGAAATAAGTTTTTCTAGACTGATATTCCTCCCTAATGTTCATCTTTTGCTCTCAGTTCCTGGGCTTTGAACATGCATGCATCTATTTTTGCAAGGAAATGATGGCATAATTAATCTTTAAATAGTAATATTCTCTGAATAATTATTCAGTAAATAATCATCTAGCATTATTCACAACTGTATATATTTGCAAGAGAAACAGTTATACTTTGAAATCTTGTCTGAGGTACATCAACATATTAAAAGTGAATTATTTTATGTGTTAAGTCTATATTTGTTTACAATTTCAGTTTTTATTTCATTGTATTAAGGATATTTATTGTGTTCATTATCATCCCTGCCTAGGGTTTTATTTTTCTATTTCTGTCAAAAATACCATTGGGATTTTGACAGGGATAGCACTGAATCTGTAGATAATTTTTGGTAGTATGGATGTTTTAACAATATTAAGTCCTCCAATCTATGAACATGGATATCCTATTTATTTGTGTCCTCTTCAATTTCTTTCATCAAAATTTTGTAGTTTTCAGTGTATAAGTCTTTCAGTTCCTTGATTAAGTTTATTCCTCAGTATTTTATTTTTTTGGATGCTATTGTAATAGGATTATTTTCTTAATGATTTTTAGGTTAGTTCATAGTGTATGGAAATGCAACTGATTTCTACATGTTGATTTTTGCATTTTGCAACTTTCCTGAATTTATTAGTTCAAACTATTTTTGTGGAATCTTTAGGGTTTTCTACATGTAATATGTTATCTGCAAACATGTAATTTTACTTCTTCCTTCCTAATATGGATGCTTTTTATTCTTTGTCTTATCTAGTTGCTCTGGCCAAGACTTCCAGGACTACACTGAATAGAAGTGGTGAGAGTGGGCATCCTTGCCTTGTTCTTGATCTTAGAGAACAAGCTTTCAGTTTTTCAGCAATTGAGTATGACATCAGGTATGGACTTTTCATATATGGTTATGTTGACAGTTTTTCTCACAAAAAGGTGCTAAATTTCATCAAATGCTTTTTCTACATCTATTGAGATGACTGTGTGACTTTTATCCTACATTCTATTAATGTGGTATATTGCATTATTTGATTTGCCTATGTTGAACCATCCTTGCATCCCAGGGATAAATCCCACTTTGTCATGATGTATGATGATCCTTTAATGTGCTGGTGAATTTGATTTGCTAATTTGGAACCACAAAAGATACCAAAAGTCAAAGCAATCTTGAGTAAAAAAGAGCAAAGCTGGAGGCATCACATTTCCTGATTTCAAAATATATTACAAAGCTACAGTAATTAAAACAGTACAGCACTGAAATAAAAACAGACATATAAACCAAAGGAACAGAAGAGAATACAGAGATGAACTCATGAATATGTGGCCTACTAACTGTTGACAAGAGTACCAAGAATACACAATGGGGAAAAGGAGTGTCTTCTACAATGGTGTTGGGAAAACTGCATATCCACATGCAAAAGAATGAAATTAGGTCCTTATTTTTCACCATACACAGAAATCAACTGAAAATGGTTAAAGATTAAATTAAGACCTGAAACTATAAAATTCCTATAAGAAAACAAAGGGGAAAACTTCATGACATGGGTCCTGGCAACGATTTCTCAGATACAATATCAAAAGCACAAGACCAAAAGCAAAAATATACAACTGAAAGTACATCAAACTAAATAGCTTCTGCAAAGCATAGGAAACAATCAAGAGGAAAAAAAAAAAAAAAAAAAAACCTACAAAATGGGAGAAAATATTAGCAAACTATATATCTGACTAGAGATTAATCTCCAAAATATATAAGTAACTTCTACAATTTAATAACATAAAAAACAAATATCCCTATTTTTAAAAATGTGCTAAGGACATGAAGAGACATTTAACCAAAGAATACATATAAATGACCACAGCGTGTAAAAGATACTAAATGTGACTAGTCATCAGGGAAATGCAAATCAAAACAATGAAATACCACTTCCCATCTGTTAAAATGGCAAGAGAAAGAAGAAAGAAAGATAGAAAGAAAGAAGAGAAGCAAGCAAGCATTGGTGAGGATGTGAAGAAAATGGAACATTTTTACACTGTTGGTGGGAATGAAAAATAGTACAACTACTGTGAAAATTAGTATGGAGGTTCCTCAAAAATTAAAAATAGAACTATTATATTACCTAGCAATCCCATTTCTGGGTATATATTCAAAAGAATTAAATCAGAATCTCTAAGAGTTATCTGTACTCCCACATCATTGCAGTATTATTCACAGTAACCAAAATACTGAAATACTAAATGTCCATCAGCAGATGAATGGAGAAAGTAAATGCGGTACATAAATACCATGGAATATAACTCAAACTTTAAAAAGAAGGAAATCCTGCCATATGTGATAACATGAATGAATTTGGAAACTATTATGCCAAGTGAAATAAGCCAGTCACAGGACAAATGCTGAAGAACGGCTCTTATATAAGTAATCTAAAATATTCAAAGTCACAAAAACAGAGAGTAATGGGTTTGTGAGGGGTGGGGAAGGAGGAAATGGGCAGTTGCTGTTCAATGGGTATCTAGATACAGTTTACGGAAGACGAGTAAGTTCTAGGTATCTTCTGTACAACACTATGTCTATAGTTAACAATACTGTATTATACACTTAAAAATTTGTCAAGAGAGTATAGCTCATGTAAAGTGTTCTCTTCCTAATAATAATAAAAGTCATCCATGCCTAGCCCAGAACAAAGACAGAATGTTATCCATTAAAATGTATGAATGAATATGGTTTTAGCAGAAAGTTAGCAGTCTTTGGTACCATCAAACTTAAGTACACATCCTAAATTTCACACTTGCTCAAATATAAATCGCACTGAAATACCAGTTAATCAATTAAGGTGTGTTTCAGAAAGGAGCAACAGCGTGGAAATTAGGCCAGTCCTGAGGTAGCTAAAGTTAAAGAATAAAAATTGAACTGTGAATCAAGGACAGCTGTGTCCCAGAAATAGCTGAAGCTAATTTCTGAAGAAGGAGTGCTCCATGTTCTCACTTATACTTTTATATTTGAGGCTGTTGACCCAACTTATCTCCAGTAATCTTACCCATGTGATGGTTTTAGCTTTCAGGAAAACTGTTTGTATAATTCACTCTCATGTATTTTTCATCAACATTAAAGTCATTTTTTAAAAATATATACTGAATAAAGAAGATGTGGTATATATATACAATGGAATATTATGCAGCCATCAAAAGGAATGAGATCTTGCCATTTGCAACGACGTGGATGGAACTGGAGGGTATTATGTTGAGTGAAATAAGTCAAACAGAGAAAGACATGTATCATATGATCTCACTGATACGAGGAATTCTTAATCGCAGGAAACAAACTGAGGGTTGCTGGAGTGGGGGGTGGGGTGGGAGGGATGGGGTGACTGGGTGATAGACACTGGGGAGGGTATGTGCTCTGGTAAGCGCTGTGAATTGTGCAAGACTGTTGAATCTCAGATCTGTACCCCTGAAACAAATAATGCAATATATGTTAAGAAAAAAAAAAGAAGAAGAAGAAGGTAGCGGGAGGGGAAGAATGAAGCGGGGGAAATCGGAGGGGTAGACGAACCATGAGAGACGATGGACTCTGAAAAACAAACAGGGTTCTAGAGGGGAGGGGGGTGGGAGGATGGGTTAGCCTGGTGGTGGGTATTGAGGAGGGCACATTCTGCATGGAGCACTGGGTGTTATGCACAAACAATGAATCATGGAACACTTCATCTAAAACTAATGATGTAATGTATGGGGATTAACATAAGAATAAAAATAAATAAATAAATATAAAAAAATATATATATATATACTGAATTCAGTATGTTGAACTGCACATTGATCATATGAGCAGATCTGTCATAATGGAATGTGTTTAGAAACTTTTAAATACTTCTTTTCAACAAGTCCCCATTGAAAGAGCATGCACCTGGGACCATGGAAATGTGTGTTTAAACCATGGCTTTGCTACATGTCTGTCACTAAATTACACTGAACAACTTATCCTTCTGAGACTTAGGATTTTAACTCTAAACTAGATTTAAAAAAGGAATACATTCTGGAGGTACTGGGAAGACTAGCAGTATTGCATATGAAATATTATAACAGAATTTATGATGTTATAAATGATTATAAAAATTAATAACCAGGGGTGAATGTATAGAGGTGCCTTGAAGATTGAACCCTTATAAAAGAAAATTGTTTGGCCTGGATTAAGAAACTCTGTCTTAATAATCTTAATAGCTGTAAGAATATCCATGCCAGATAATTTTAT